CCCCCCCCCCAACCCAATAAAACTCCTACATGAGCTTTTAAAAATAGTAACAGAAAATCCCATTTCTGGCTGTATGCAGCAGAAAAGATTTCTTAAACACATTCAGCTGAGTATTTGCTTTCCAAAAAAATTCCCCAAACCTGAAGACATTTAATTTTTTTGACTACCTGCACCTCTACATCTATAAAGAACGACAGCAAGGATAAAACACACCAAGTTGTTGGCCTTGCAAACTATGGTTTTGTTTTGTTTTTCTTCTACACATAATCAAGATAGCACAGAAAGTGGCAGTGCAAGGTTTGTTCAAAACTGTCCTACCATTATGCCTTAATTTGGTGTGTGTGTGTGTGAGAAGATTAATATCTTGGTGAGTAAAGAGTAAAGCATCAGAAGCTCCTTGACTTTTGGCCTCATTTTTGCCTAGGTGTAACAGTGGTAAGTGAACATAATGCCTTTCTATCCAAGAAAAAGTATTGGAAATATTATTACAGCAATATTTGAAGGGAAAAAAAAGTAATATATTTTATTGGAAAAAATTTGTGTATAAAAATCTTCAGGCTCTGTGATACTCCTGAACATATCCTTAGATTGTCAGAGATACCACAGTGTTTGTTCTTATGGGTGTAAAGGTAAATTTCATTTCAATGACAAACCCTTTCACTAGTCTGACATAACAACTAGAGTTCATATAGCTTTTAAAAATATCTATTAAAAAATTAATATGAATTAATTTACCAAATATTTTTCCTATGAGCAATTCAAAAGTTACCTGAAAGGTAGTAATCTCCAATAACTATCAACCTGAGATACATTGAACCCTGCAACCTAGAGGTAAGATTTCTATCATCCCAAATTTACCTCCCCGATTTATTCAGCCTGTCTGTATGCACATTTAGAAGCTCAACGCGTATTCCGAAAGGATTTCTCAGTTTCTCCATCTCACCGAAGGCAACATAAGTTCCTCCCACATTACATTCTTCTTATTGCCCATATTTTATTGAATGCCATGCTAATCAAAAGCATTTTATAGAAAATCTTGTCTTTATGAAATGATTTTGCCTTCTAAACAGACTGTGGTCAGAGATACTCCTCTTTCTGGTGGAAGCTGAAATAAAAAGTTGGTTTCTGCCATTTTGAGATGTGCTATTTCAAAATGCCAGGGCAAAAGAGACACCAGAGGGGTCTGTGCACCTCACCAACCCCTTCTGTTCATTAATAGTCATAATTTTGGTTCATGTTCACAAATTTGGGAAGCATGCAGCAGGTGGAGTAGTAAGGTTACCACTTTGCCAAAAAAGATTGTATCTGCTAGAGACATTTGTATCCCCAAAAAGGTTTGAAATTCTCTTTTGGCATAAAATGAACAGTTTGTAAGTAAGCGCCAATGCGTATTGAACATCTAGTAAAATGCTATAGAACAACTGACTTTAGATTTATGTGATTAAAAAACCCTGTTCCTCTTGACTGTGTTCTATATGGTACAATAATGATATCCTTTTCTGTCTAATAACATCTATCTTGGGACTTTATTTGCTCTTAGGAAGGTAATTCAGTGCCCTGTGGTCTTAAATGTTTTTATAACACACTACCTATTATTATAAAGGTGAAAGGAAGGTCTGTGAATAGATTGCCAGTGAATGGGAATGATGAGCAGAGGAAGCAATGCTGGCGGGATTCCCCGCTACTCGCTCACTCTGAGTGAACCACCCTGCAAACATGACATTCTGTTGTACCTTTAGTTCATCCTTGCTTTGGAAGTTGTCCAGTAAGTGCTGGAAATGAGTGTCTGACATCTGACGAAGCAAAGATAAAAGGCAGGAGACATATTCTCCCTGTTGACCAAATGAGAAACTATTTCATTGAGACAATCTGAAATTTCATAAATAGAAAACTCAACCTGGGGTAAGGTATAAAGGGAGGGGTCTGAAATGGCCCCAATGCCTATGAGAGGAAAGCTGACATGCACAGAGATTAAAAATACGGCATGTTAACAGTTCTTGAATTACTGTTAATACATAGGAATACACCTCTTAGAGGCTCCTCCACAGCTGCCAGTTTTAAAGGTCTTTTAACCCATCTTGTAGTCCAAACAAAAATAATTTAAAATTATTAATATAGACATTAATGAATCGCCCTCCAAGCATGCAATTTTTGACAATCGTCTTTTTCAGTTACTTAATGTACTATGTCTATCAAAGGTGTGACTGCAGCTCATACAGACATACCAGGAATTATTTAAAACTAATTGGCTCAGATACGCAAAACAGTACAGCGATGACAGCATGGGATCAGTATGGGCTACCAAAAGGTGTCTGGAATCTTGTAAATATTTGATTTATTAGTGTTCACCAAGTTATGTGCTGTCATAGCTACCGTACTAACAGTATTCCAGTAAGATACTCAGAATATAGTTTGAGTAAGACTACCTGAGCTACAATTACATTTCTGGCCTGCAAAGCAGATGCACCCTAACCAGTTACCACCGTATCCCAAAGTGTTTTCCAAAGATGAGCTCCCCCATTTTACACATCTGAAAGCAAAGCACAGAGAAGTTAAGCAATCTGTCCAAGATAACAAGCCAGGCAGTGCCAAGAACGTAAGGAAGTATGTCTTTTGACTGCCAGTCCGTTGCACAACACTATTTTTTTCTGTGACAATGAGCAATTAATTTGTAACATGTACAAACTACTGTCTAAGCAGTATCTAATAAGATTCCATGTATCACTGTGCTGTGAAATACAAATTCAGGAACAAATACAAGGGGATTTTATACTTGGACTGTCCATACCATTTTCTTTTCTAATTGGCTCAAGTATCTACACAGAAACTTTGACACCGGTTGTTCCAATAAACTTTGGAAACAGGAAAAAAGATGTGCTCTTATGTGTGAGGTGGCATGTGATAAATAACAGTAAGTCTAATGGTAGGAGTAAAAGGAAATTGAGATGTTACTGGACATTTGCAAGCTAGCACCTTTCTTGTATCAGAGAACATGCCTGAAAACAACTAAATGCCTTCTTTATTAGGATTCTACTATTTGTTACTTTATCTGAGCTAACCTAGAAAGATAAAATCTTCTCTTGTGCGAGGGGTGTACCTTAGTGTACATCCACCCCCAACAATATGTTTGAGGTTTCAGCCATTTGATATAAAAGCAAGACTAGAAAAAGGGATGTTCTGAAAAACAGCTTAACATCATACGTTGTGCAAAAGCTGCATTAGACACTAAAATAGGTTAGAATAGAAAAGGGTAAGAAATCCAGAAAAGAAGAAAGCTGAACAGCTGCTTTTTCTCCTCTTCCGTTGCATGTCAAAGAAGAAATTTCTTCCCCATGGCTTATGCTGGCAGTCTGTACAAAGTGGTGGCTTTTCCCTCTTCTTCCACCAAGCTCAACAGCTCACTTGACTTAGGATCTGTTACTTTCTTTTTCAGTATGTTGTGTTTCATTTGCATGAAATAATCAGTGAACCTGGACAGAAGCTCTCCAGGGTGTTAAGTAAAGGGACTTGTCCACTAAGCATTATGGTATTCTCAGTCGTAGGAATCAGAGACTGATACTCATACAGCCCTTGGTGATACCTCTTCAGGGGTGAAGCCTCAGGCAGCTGCCCAGCTAGCATATGCCTCAAGTTCTAAACAGTAACTTGCAATCACAGCTGCAAAGACAAGAAAATAACCTGGAAATCCACAAAAGCTTCCTGAGCTCCACTGCTTCCTGCAGACCTCACTAGTGCACAGAGGGAGGAAGGGATTTGTGGCTTATTAAGGGGAAGAGACAAAGCCCTGGGCGTTCATGCAGCAGAGATGATAATGAGGTGCCAGTGGTGGTGAGGGACTGAACCAAAGGTTAGAGAAGCAGGAAATAGAAACTGATTGTTAGTTACTAACAGTGATTTCTGCTGTGCACTGCGGGCAACGCTGCCCTCTTACCGCCTCCTGAGACTGCGATTTACTCATGATTGTAAGCAGAGTTTGTAAAAGCACATCCAGGAGGCTCTCCACCATCATCTCAACCTCCTCCACGACATCTCCCTCCTACAGTAAGTGGTGAGCAAACAGACAGTTAGGAACTGGAGAAAATGGAATTGACAAAGACAATTCTGCTGAGTCAGCCATACCACAAATACTCATTTTGCTAGAGTGCTCCGTAACGGAGGCGCAGAGAAGTACAATTGAATTCATCAATGGTACCAGATAGTGTTGTGATGCCAGTGTGTGTGTTACCTCCTCAATCTCTGATGGAGACATTCAGGGTCACAGCCATAAAGGTAAATCTATAATCAAAGGTCTGCATACACTCTAGAACACAATGGGATCAAATTATGTTCAGGAACCTTTATTCTATGGCAGCATTATTTTAGCTTATTACCATGATACCTTTCATCTCATTCCTTTCACACAAAACCATAACTTGTAATTGGAAATACTCATTGGTATGAATTATATTTAGCACCATGTGCTTCCTCCTTTAGAGTCAGGTGGGAAAACTTCACCACCTTCTGTTTGTGAGCGTTCTTTAAATGATCAAGTTACCATTTGATATCAGAGTATTATGATCATCAAAGCTGGGTGTTTCAACTCAGCAGCAATTTCCAGAAGTAAGTGTGATTTCATTGATTGGATAATTTTAGAGTATTCTCTTAACATGAATCACAAAGTGATAGTTACTGTCTCTTGCAGAACTGCAAGTCTTAGAGCTGCGTAGAGCTTTTGAACTCCATTAACATCGAAGTTCTGGGCTTGGATGAAGAAAATTAAACAGTGTCAAACCTGGTAAATGCATATGCTTTTCCCCCCTCCTAACAGCAAGAACACTGTATAATCAGAATGCTCCGAGTCACACACAGTAAAGCAGACCCTCATTTCAGATGTCCTCCTGCTGTTAGAAAGTTAGCAGAATTTCGGTTTTAAAAGGATCTTTGAAAAACCTGTATTAACCTATAAAAATGCCTCAGTCTTCATTATACTAAATCAGTTGTGCAATTAAAAAAAAAAAGTAATCAAGCAGCAGATTACCAAAGAGCTGGTCTTGATTATGGAGAAGATACTACTGAGTATCCCAGAGCAGATGAGCAGCTCCTTCTGCTGTCGTAGGTGAAGGTGAATATGGTGAAGAACTACAGGTAGCAGGATGCGTCGTGACTCTGAAAGAAGGAAAATCAGGTCAGAGGTCTTCCAAAATTCAATTTCAGCCATCCCAATCAGCAGCCATTTGGTATCCAAACTAGCCTAGACAGCACATTTGATTAATTGGTGCAACTTCTACTGTACGGGTTGTAGTACACCACACTTCCAAGAACTGTATCTAATGAATTAATAGCACATCTAGTTTCAAAGGCTCATAAATGCAGTATGCGTGATGGTCTCACTAGCGATACAGCTTGGAAACACCAGTTGTGAACTGATCCTTTCTAATGCTCATTTCCTTTGTGCAAACCCTTCCCCACTTCATGTTGCTTTCCAGCTCTACTGTTAGAGCTAATAGAGCCTCTCCAATATATGCCTCTTGGAAGCTGGCTAATTCTTCTCTTCTAGCTGGCTTACAAACCTTCATCTTATTAAAGAAGGGAGAGCAGATAGCAGCTGCAGAAAACAGTAGCCAAAACAGGAAAAGAGAGACATAGGAAAAAAAATGGCAAGACGTCAGCAAACAGGCTGATATAAAAGATATATCAGATATATAGAGATAAAAGGAAAACAAGTCTTCACCATATGGGAGGCAAGAAAAAGAGAATTTATCTTCCTTTAATTGCAAGACCTGAAGAGTAGGTGGGGTGGGTAGCCAAAAGGTGACTTTGGAAACTAGATTCATTTTGCCAGGTGCAGCTAGGACATGGGAGAGATTGTTGACCTGGGAGTACTGTGTCATGCTTCCATGGGAAGCAGTAAGGGAGGGGTCCATCATTATGTTGGGTGGAAGATGGGGCACCTGTGCAGTCATAGCTGCCTTGCAACACTGAAGCTTGCTTTCTGGGTTTTGATGCTGTAGTGAGATGTCACGGCGCTGTGCAGCAGCTAAAAGCATCACTAGTTGCTGGTGTCATTGTAAAGGAGAAACTAAGGTTAATGGGAAGAACTGCAGCCCTGGATTCTGTGGGTAAAGTTACACCTGGCTTTACTGAGAAGTCAGAAAAGGGTTTTGCCCATGAACTTGGCACTAACAAAGAAATATTTTTATCAATAGGTTCAAAACGCTACAGCGAGATAAAATTCATTGCCTGTTTCACAATTACTCCTTCTCTACATTGGTTTTTTTTTTAGATTAATTTAAAATTTAAGAAAAAATGTTTATAAACAATAACATGGATGGTTTAAATATGATTATGTGTTGTTATTCTCACCTTGCACTGAGTAGAATAATTTGAGTGTACTCACTTGAGATCCTCACTACAGGGAAGATAAGCTCAGTGGTGCTTTTTATCTTCCACTATTACCTTCATAACTTCTTTCATTCAGACCTTTATGTATAAAATAAAGTCACAGTCTTCAACCCTTCTTCATTTAATTAATTCTTAAAGAATGACTAATATGTTGAGGTAAAGAAATACTAAAGTTATAAAGTAAAAATAAAACATACTTTAAAGGAATCCAGTGGGTCTCTCACATAACTTTATCTCCCTGTTTATCAGACAATAAGCTTGCTGGAAAGGAGGTTATCTTCCTATCCATGACAAGAATAGGATTGAATAGACGTGAACAGAATCGTATTGGTTGGAAAAGACCTTTAAGATCATCGAGTCCAAGTAATTTTGTTAACGTAAATATTTTTATCAACTTTTAGTAACTACAGTTTATCCATGGAGGATTTATAAACATTTTCTACCCTAAGGAAACTTACAAAGTACCAGCAGTGAATATATGTAATGATACCACCAAGATAAATAAGTACCAAGATTATTGGCATTCAGCAATGAATTGTTTGCAACAAAGCAACCGCAAAATAAATGTAACGTGCTGCTACTCTTAGCAGCAAGACTTACCCTCAGATACTGCTGTCTTACCTGAGAAAGAGAACAGGCGGCTGTCAACAGTGCGTGCAATAGATTGTAGCTTAACCACATCCATTGATTGCCCAATGTGTACTGTACTGGGCATGCTGCCCAGAGTACCCCTCACAAACTCTGCTACTTCCTGCACAGTGAACATCTGCAACAGCTCATCAAAGATAGCGGGGAAGGAGTTCAGCAAAGCAGCCTGAAAAAAGTAAATGAAGAAACTGAAAATGTTGAATTTTGTAACTGCAGCTAAATGCAGTGACATAGAAAGAACAGCAAAAGTGAAGTAAGGGTCTGCAAAAAGCTACTAAATAGTGCACTAGGGCTGGTGTTAATGTCTTGCAATACCTAAAGTTCAGAGTGAACAAATCCCATGTAGTATTTAAAAATCAAGTGCTGTTGCAATACTAAGTCTTACAATAAGTTGAGCCCATAGATACCGTAGAGCTTCAAAAGGCTGTATTTTAGGACACAGCTTCTAAAACAGAGGTCCCATAGAACAGAAAACAGTCCATTTTTGTTGATTTACTTTTTTCAATAAATAGAAAACCTGCTTCTGATTAGAGTTCCATACCAATTTTTTTTTACTAACTACAGAAGATAGTTAAAAATCTTCAGAAAATATTTTGAAGTAAAGAACATGGCGACAGACCCTTAACCGTAGCAGCACTGTTATGGGATACTGCAGTATCTGTGCAGCAGGGGTGGGGTGTGATTTCATGTGAAAGAGGCATCACATCATGCAGTAGGTGTGCACGTGATTCTTGCAATGACAGATATTTCCAGTAAGCTGGAGCTATCCTTGAAGGTGTTTCTTAAAGTGCAGAAACAATATCAGCACAGCAACAACAAGACCAAACTCTTCCTCTCTAATTTCACACTTCTCCAATTAATTTCTTCATAACAGTAATAAATGCCATGCATCACCCTATCCTCAAGTTCCACAGACTTGGCATCATACCTAACAACTGTCACTCACCTCTAATGTTTTAAAATTCTTCTCTTTCTTCCTCTACATCCTGCCCAAGGTCCATACCTAGTTCCTTCATTAGAACTACTTAAAATTCCCAGTGGTGACTTTCCTGAACTGTTCAGTCTGGTTTTGATTTACTCCCAGCCACAGCCCCACCACCCTGCACACTTCCCTTCTCACTGGTTCCACCTCCCTCGTCTGAAGCTCTCCACACAAACCACACTGACTTCCTGCACAAGTTCAGATTTACCAAACTTCGTTGCAGATCTCTGTTCAGTTTTGCCCTTCCAGTCTCTCAGGACCTTTCGGTGTTTTTTTCTATTCTGCAAGTTCTCTTTTTCCTCATGGATTTTTGTTGTTTTCTCATTGCACAAACATTTCTGTACCTCTCCCATGCTGGCTCTAGCACTTGGCATGCCTCTCCTAATCCCATATAATATACAGTTTCCTTCTTTGCCAAGTCTTTCCAAAGTATCTTTTCTCCCACGTAGCAGTGATATCTATTTAATAGTCTTTGAGCAAAGGCTAAGTTATTTTTGCAACTAACACTGCAGAGCCCATTAAATTATTCTGAATATAAATTTACCTCTTTCTTCTTCATGCTCGTTATCTCTCTCAACATCTTGTCTTGTTACAATCAGTTCAGATTACACAAAACCTCACATAGCCTCCTGGGTGTTGTCACCTATTTGTTGCTACATACATACAATGTACTCACAAAATAAACAAACATGAATCATTTAAATAGCTCATGGTACTCTTGGAAGGCTGTAACAGCTGCAAATCCAGTCATCACCTTTATCTTTGGGAGAAGTGAAATTACAATACTGGTCCAAGAAATCCTTACAGGACTGTTCCTAAACTTATTTCTAACTATTACTATGAAGCAGGAGGATTGCTGTGGGGATTTAGGGTGTCCAGTAGCAAAGTAAGGATGTGCATGGGATCTCTTCAGGAAGCTTTGAAGCTGTCTTGAGGAGCAGCTACATCATTTCATCAGCTCCTTGAAGGGCTCTTTTTTGTATAACACCCTAAAATATTCTGGAACATTACTCATGTCAAACTAATTGCCTGGAAGGAAGCACATAATCAGTTTTAACTTCATTGCTGGAAGGAACTATATTGAGATCTCTCTAATATCCTGGATAAGAGGACAAATGTGAAGAAAATTATGTTTGCTAGGGCCTCAAGCATTTCTGTAGATATTTAACAGTTGTCCAGATTTCCGGAACTAGTACATAATCTCCTTGGCTGTCCTGAACAATTTGACTTTTATAATCTTGTATACCCCCTCAATACCATCAGTATTTTCACTCTGTGGATGCCATAAGCTGTTCCATTAGTTACTAAAATATTCCACATTTTCTAGTTTTAAAGTACCAGCCACTTAAACATTAAATTCCAGTTTATATGCAGGAAAAGAGGGCTTGGGGTAGGGAAAAGGGATTAATTGGGAACATCCGTGATGAAATACTTGTGCAGTTCTGGGGATCATTACTTACAGAATTAAATGACGGCCTTGAAGTACCACCACATTTTTGTGGGGCACATGTCCCAGCTCCGCTCGCCTGCCCTCCAGGCTGAGAGGCCTATGGGGCAATTGGGATCAAGGGGCAACACAGTGGCAAGGGGGAAACAAAAAGTAAACTTTTCAAAGATTAAACAAGGACAGGCTTTACAATCTACAAAAGTCCAAAGTAAGAAATACTGCAGTGAGAGAAAGGAGAAAAAATTAAAAAAGACAAAAAGGGAAAATAACCCCATCCTCAAATCTGGTCTCCCTCTGTATTTTTGATCAATGCAACTAAAAACCAAACAACCCTAAACCAGCCTGCGTTCACAACATGCTGTTTCCACTCACTGTCACTTTGCGTGCAAAATCTGTGCACTGATTTCTTGTGTTCCTGCCTCATCTTATTATACCCACTAATAGGTGATTAAATAAAAGATTAGAGCAGCTGTTCTCAAAATTTTTCAGAGCAGCTTCTTAAGAAGGAGATCACATTTCTGGCAATTTCCCTAACCAGCGGAGTCACTCTGCTTTGTGGCAACGCTCGCAGCAACTGCTTTGGCAAACCACAGGAGGTGTTCAAAAGATCTGTAAATAGTAAATTAGTGATTACAGATCACCTTCATCTTACCAGGAAGTTTTGGGTGGTCTGTCTTTGATATTCTCTGAGACACACATGTAACATTTGACATAACTATTTAAAACTTTTAAACACAAAATTATGTAATTTAGTACAGTGGTCTTTAAAAAAACATCCTTACTCACTTTGAGTAGTATCTTAAGCCCACACCAAATTTTCATGAAGTCATCTGGGCCATATTCAAAACAGCATATTAAATGTGAGCGTGGGTATCACAGTATGCTTGCAGTCAGGCTGCATATGATTCTGACTGTAATTTTAGAGTATGCTGGAATTAAGTTTATCTGACTGTGAGTACCTCAATTGAACTTCTCTACTGTGATGTTGCTATGACCCTAAGTGTTGACTTCAGCTACTACAATTAAGGATTTAAAATTTCTTTAGGCCAATTGTAAGACACATGAATGAGAGGCTTGAAAATGCAGTTTACTTTTGTGAAGAGCAGAGATGAAATTCTCATGTGACAAGTCACGTTCCTCTTGAGAGTCCACAGTTCAGCTCACCTGTATCTGCAGTGCAAAGCTACTGTCTAATAATGTTAATTGGCAATGTCATTTTCCAGTATCATCAACTTGTGAGACGGGAAAAACTCTACTAACCTGCATTTAATTGTCATGCGCCCATATATACTACCTGTGCAGAAAATAGCTGCTTTTTGGTTTGCTAGTTAAGGTGTAGAAAATAGCAAACCTGTGTGAAGATGAGAGTCTCGGAGCTCCTGCTGTCCAAGCTGAGCACAAATCTGATGGACTGGAAAAGCTCCTGGATGCTGGAGCGGAACTGTTCCTCCTCCATTCCACAAGTAGCTCTGGAGTAAAGGATCCGAGATTGGACAATGAACTTGAAAAGATATTCCAAGGCCTTAAGGAGCAGGAGAGGAAGGAGATTAAGACAGAGAAAAAGAGAGAAAGAAAAATAAAGGAGCTTTAAAGAGAACCAGGAAAGATTCTAGGTGCATAATAACTATATTCTTCAGCTTTAGAAAGGAGACAGAAAAACAGGTTTTATAAGTTACATAAATCGGTTAAGAAAGATCAACTCATAGGCAGTATCCCTTCTCAACCAACAATCTTTGTTACCAGTATGTCCCACTAACAAAAAAGTACATATTTAAGCCAAATAGACAAGTTTGAGTTACATAATTTGAGGAAAACCTTGGTGAAGAGACATCTAGTTTTTTTTCAAGACTTTTGGCACAATACCTGTAACTGAAGAAGCTATTTTCCTGTTTTCATTCAAATTAATTACTGGAGTTAGCTAATCTAGATTAAGATAAGTGGACTGTCAGTGGAACAGAAATGTTTCCTGGAAAGAGGAGAATCTACTTTTCAATATGAACACAACAGCAAGGTTCACCTTTATTTCTGGCTGCTACATGTACAGACGGAAATAAATGCAGATGCAGAAATAGAAGACAACAAGAGCAGCACATGAAGCCCTCTGGCAGCCCGTAACAGTAGCAAGCAGCAGTGCTCTAGTGAGTTATATTTTTACTTTGAGCTCTGATAAGTTGAAGTGCCTTTCTTTTATCGTCACCTGTGAAACTTGGAGAGCACCCAGCAGAGGGAGAATAACCTGCACAGAAGATGGCATTTACACCATTATACAATGTGTGATAGATGCTGCAGTCCCGAAGGATGGGCAAATTGGATCTTTTTGTAGTAGAATGAGAATTTGCTCTATGACATGACTAGATTTAAGTCTGAATTTGCAATCTAAACATCTTTAAAATTGTGTAAATGGCATTATTCAGAACTCCATTTATCTGGCAGCAGTTTCAATGAAGAAAAATACGTTGTTCTGTGCAGCCCTTAACAAGCTTACCAATCTATCAGGGATTCTCACGGACACTAATAAGGCAATGTGCAATATACGCAAGAATATGCAATGTTATGTTGTAAGCTTTAGAATGCTACAGCTTTAAGGATAGAGAATGGGAATGCGAAATTCCTCATAAAGCCATCACAGATTTCAAAATGCCACTGATACTTACAGCCTTTTTTTTTTTTTCTGGGAATGATGATAGCTTTGGTACTTTGGCAGTACATTATTTATACTTCTGTACTAAAACATCTCCCACTGAAGCTTCCTTACACCAAAGAACTTCATCAGGACATAACACTTTTTATTTCTGGATAGTTTCCAGACAAAGGTCAGTCGGTTCACAAGTCAGCTCTTTAAGGTTAGCATCTCTGCTGCTAACACCAAATACAGCAAGTCAAGTGCTTGTACAAGCTGTTTTATAGGTTTGGTACAGACGACCGTAACTCTAACCTGAAAGCTCATAACTTCAATGTGAAGCTTATGTTTTGCAATGAATCAGAGGATTTATGTATGAAATTCTGTAATTCTCTGTTGCAAGTGAAATGGCAGGCTTTCAGAGACACTCCGCATCCTTAGCACAGACAACCTAAACTGTTGCCTAGAATGATCCCACAAAGGCAGCTAACTGAAGAGTTCATTGTGTTTGCAGACACGTGGCTGAGATGACAAAAACACAAACCAAGTCTCGTTAGCACAAATCAGGACTTGCACTAACTGACTCTTACTACTCAGAAAATCACAAATATGATGCATATGTGTGCCTAAAGACATAGAAGTACACTGAAATAAAATTCAAGCCTTCTATTATATTTGGCATGATATAAAAAAAAATCAGTATCAAATTAAAGGAAGTTTCTTAAAAACATAGTCTGTATGCGTGTTCACACAATAGGTGAGCGCACACCACGCACCTGTGACCAGCACTTAAAGACTTATGGTACCATCACATGCAAAACTTAAATGGACAAGCAGCATCAAAACCTTATTTCCTCTCAACCAAACAACCCCTAAATTCTACAAGTGGTACTCCAGGAGAGTCAAGAAAAGGAGTAAGAAATGTGCATATAGATAACACATCTCAAAGAACTTCCACTTACTAATGAGTAACCTTCCTTCCTTCTCTGAGTGTTCATATGCACGTTCACTCTGTGAATACAGGAATAGCACATCTCAACTTGCACAGATTACCTGGTGATTGGTTGCAATGTCCCAGGAGAATTAAAAGCAGAAGACCACTATGACAAAAGCAGCATCAGTTAGAAGCTTCTGTGATAACACAGGTAAAAAAAGTGGAGAAATTGTGGTTATTCTGCAGGTCTAATGGATAGAGGTGGTCTTTAGAGACACTTGAGCCTTCAGGGATTATGTTTGGACAACATTTGATGGTTTTACTGTAGCACATTCATAAATGCAGTGAACAGTCTTAGGAACAGTACAGCTGCACATCTGGACTCATCTGTTGCAGAGATGAAGTCTGTTCAGTTCAAACAAAAGGCAAACTGTACCCGATGTTCAGAGCATGAACAGATGAACCAACCTTGTATAGAGCTGCTTTAAGAAAAAGCACAGATTAGTTCCCTAGCTCAAGAAACCCAAAGATCACTTTAGAAAGTATCTGGAGTATGTAGAATGGGTAACCTTGTCATAAGCACAGTGTATATAAATAGGATTAGCTCTGAGGGTCTGAATCTCTTTCACTGTGCTAACCAAAGTGAATAAAAGCCATTTTCAGTAGCCTATGAGTACCCATTCACCATTCAAGAGCAGCTAACAAACTCTTCCTGCTACTGTCAATGTATTTTTTTCCAGAGAAGAGCGTGCTTGCTTCAAGAAGCATCTACTATATAGTTTTAAGAAAAGAAGTGCAAAGGTTCAAGTGAAGGTACCAATTTGAGTCTTGGGAGAACAGATAGAAGACCTAGGGCAAAGTTCAAGGCATCAGCAACAAACGAAGGAGCAAGTCCCACAAACAGGCTGACCAGGGTGGAACAATTATAGCTACATCAGCAATTTTCCGGTATTAGAAAAAGCAAGACTGTAGAACATGTAAATCACCAAATAAGGTAATTATTTCTGAATGAGGTAATTAATAAGTCCAGAGACAGACTGGTCTTAAAAGCAACAGACCGACTTTTTTTTTTTTAAATTCAGGGTGAAGAAAACAATTTGGAGGAGTCCCCAGTCTCAAAAGGCAGGCTGAGAATATAATTCCACATCTTTCATTCACTAGTTCCCTGGCTGGCATGGCTCAGAAAGCACGTTCAGGGTTTTGAAGACATCAGCTGGGAAGACTAACCCTTTCTGTATCATTGATTCATGTAAAGGCCCACAGTAATGGTATGCAGTACCTCAGAGTCTCTAAAAAAAAGTTTGATGCCTGTTCTGTGTGGTTCAGCTCCAGAACACTGATATGAAGATGTGACTTCCTGAGGAAGAAAAGGTCTTGCTTTTTCAGTGGGTTCCTCAATCTAGGCAAAACCCACCAAAAGGAAGGATGAGAATGGAAGCAAAAAGAGTAAGTTGATAATTTCTTGAAAAAACATGTTTGTCCCATTTTTAACATTCTCTGTGAATCTGTGGTTGAAGAGTCTTACAAGTTTCCAACTATGTATATATCTACAAAAGACAAAGTAAACACTGATATAATGCCCTTCTAAGTCTTAGGATATGATCTTAACAGGAGTATCTTGAAAGCTCATTGAGGGCTTTTTTTTTTTTATTGATGCCATAACTTTTCAAATAGAACAAAGATTCTCAAAAAATAAAAATTACTTCCTCAAAAATATTGACTAAATTAGACTAAAGGAGGCAAACCAAAGAACAAAAATGCCACAAGAAAGAAAAAGCCATAATAAAGTCTGAAAGGTATGCCAAGACACAAGCATAAATACACGTACAAAGAACAGCCTGTGTGTATGGGGGTGTACTTCACCTCTGATACACTTCACCTATTTGTACTGATGGGAAAAAGTGAGGAAAAGAAAGTGCTAATCTCTGCCGCTGCCACTAGTTCTAAAAGTGCCCAGACTCAAATATTTGGACATAAGCTTACTCACAGAAAGAAGGTACAGATGGACACTCACTCAAAGAAAAACCTCTTCCTGCAAATTTGGAATGCTGTTGTTATGTATTTGACACAGTATCTTTCTATCCTACAAGTACACATGGTAAAACTAGTACTTGAGTCTCTGATTTCTCTGTAGCAGCACCAAAAATATTCCTTTGGTTTCACACATCATTAGAAAGCTGTCCCCTTCTGAAAGATCATACTCTCATCATGGAACTGTGATTCAGGTCCTGTGCAATGACAGTTGTTACAATTTCCTTCCAGTTAAAGGCTCATTTATCTGCTTCTTAAAGTACTCCAGAACTTCAGCCAGTAATACAATGAAGCTGTGTCGCAGCCAGAAATGAAAAGCATATCTTTGATTCGCAGCACCTGTGCCTAATACATTTCAAATAACGGCTTCTTGAAGTACAAGGTGTAGGCCACATATATACATATGGCCAGGTCATATACACTCCGTGTAAGTCCCACTTCAGTTCTCCACAGGGCTTCAGAAGGACTTAAGGAGACATAATTCTTCCATTTTTTTCTGCACAAGAGTGGATCTCCCCCTAAAATTAAAATTTTGGCAAAACATATATATATTAAAAAAATCTGGTTAAATAAGAAGTCAGTGCCAGGCTACCCTTGATTTTATTTACAGCTCCCCCAGCCCTTTTGCAGTCACAGATGGATCAGACACACAAATATTCTGTTGCATACCTACCCTCATTGCTTCCTGGATGTGGTCTTGGCGTACAAGCTCAGCTGAACGGTCCATGTACCACTTCAGACATCGGATCAGCTCTCTGAATATAACAAACAGTGAAAAGAAGAGGAACCTTCAGCACTTTTAAAAAATCAGTCAGGGAACAAACATTTTGAGTTTAGGGTGGAATCTATAAAATAGTCCCATTTCACTCCATTTCAGTGGTCAGCTATAGCTGTCCTAGCTACTGAACTGACATAGTATGTATGTTTATTTAAGTTTTGAAACCAGAAAATAATTTCTTTTCTGTAATTGACTTAGACCATTTGGAACACTAAGAGAACATCAGAAAGATGTTATTAAAGAGATAGCTTTGGTAAAGGCATGCAGTATAGTTCTGAGATCAAAACATACAATTTTGTTTGTTTGTTTTGGTAAGAAACTCCAGATCTCCTTCCTCTAAGCAAGCAGGTTTTAGAAACTAAGATCACATAGAAAATACACACATCCGTTTCCCTAAGTATGCAATACTGTTTGGACTAACTTAAGAGTTGTATTAAAAACATGTTCTTTTTCAGACATCAGACAACCAAAAATCATTTGTTTTATCTGAAAGAGGTGATAAGTAACACAAAGCAGCACACCTTTTTATCCTCTGAACATGACTATGTCTTCTAGTGTTGCATGATATCTACAGGTTTTTACCTGCCATTGACAGAATAATTTTTTTTTAATTACACCAAAATGTGAATGCCTTAAAGCAATCAAAACCAATTATAAGCCTGTTTTTAATAGTTTATTGTGTCCAAAGATAGAATATCCTCAAAGGTACAAAAGAAATGGTCTAAAAGAAAGGAAAAACAAACCCCTGAATGATAACTGTTACTGCTTTCAAAAATCGGTCTTCCTGTCATGCAAAACTCAAAAAAAGAAGACTAGAAAATAAGGCAGAATCTTCAAAGTGAAAATCGAGTTTTGGGTCTACTGAAATTATACATTTACTCTAATTGAACAGAACATCATCTTATGTGAACACCTGTCTATTTTGGAAGAGGAAATTACATTAGGTCTCTAAGCTTTCACGCAAGTCTTGTATCCAAACATCCTCCTTAAGACAAGAAATGTGTATGTTCTTGGTAGGTCATTTGTACAGACTGAGAATGAGTTGTTGCTGAGTGACAGTGTCTCTTCAGTTAAAAAAATCCAAAGTGAGGTCTGCCAGTTCAGAAAGGCAAGATGAATTCCAAGTCTGCTCGTTCTTAGCCACGGGTGACACTCAGCAGCTTTTTCTCTGTAACTGTGCTGGAAAACTTTAATCTGAGTAGTTCTACTTTTGAAAACCACTGCTAACACAAAGGCTATGATTCTGATGGTGACATCATTCAATTGCTTGCTAACAGTGTCTCTTAAAGTGATGGATAAACAAAACCTACTTGTAAGCCAGTGCTCCTGCAAAGTGCTTCTGAATGTAAGTGTCCATCACAGGTCGAAAATGAAAATACTTGCTGTCACGCAGCAGATTTATGATGAATACCTGTGGGAGGTGAAAAAGTGAGCCCATACTAAAGGAAACTGCACATTGTTGCCAAGTTGCTATAAACAAGTTACACAAGCTAAGGAGCAATAAAATACATGAGTTTCTTTAAAGAGTCAGAGTTGTGTTATTAGATGGTGGTGTTCGCTTCTCCCAAGTGACAGCAAATATCACTGTCCTCGGATGTGCTGAGGCTATCCTGCCCTCCTCACCCAAGATTATTACAGAAAACATAAGGCTGGATCCAGCTGAATATTTCAGATTTCACGGAAGTAAAGTACTAGCAACATGAAAATAAGAAACTTAAAACTCACTGACCATGAGATAAAGAAAAGTAACAATTCAGCAGCTTACCAAAGACTGAAAGACCAGCAGACCATACTTTTCTGTGTTGTCATCCAAAACTACAAACAACGTGTCGAGAATATCTTGTAGGAACTAAAATGACATGAATAAAGAAAGAATTTCCAATTCAACTGTATTAAAATAAGGTTATTTCGCCCCTGCTTTTGTTATTTCATACATGGTGATATCTTTGTGAAACACTTGCCAAGGACAAACCAGTTCAGGTTCATCCATATCATATGACAGATTTTAATTTGTTTTTACTAAGAAAATTTTTTCTCTTTACAAGCAATATTTCTAAACAAAAAATGACAGAAAACAAACAAACAAAGAAACGTGTACCACATGCCTGATTTGCAAATATCAGCCTTCAGCTTTCACTGTCGGCTGACTGAAGGGATGCCTAACAGTAGGAAAACAACTAACTTTCTTTCTCATGCCATTAGACTGTATCAGATACTGTTGTTCATCAGTTTTAAGGGTTGGAAGCACATTAACTAGTGCTTCAAATTCTGTTGAATGTTGAAAACTGTTGTTATGTGTCAGAGAGTAAGTGTTAATTGGGTCAAGTTACATACTGCCAATTGTTTCTTCCATCCCTCAGACTGCGGCTTACTGAATGCTGACAATTCAGTGATTTTCCTTCCTGAAAGCACAGTCCTCAGAAAGGATGACTGTGAAGAAGAATGCTGAAGATCAAGTCAACTCCACATTCTCTCATGATTTTTTAATCTATTCTAATTGAATTTCTGATGTGGAAAACAAGAAATAAAACATAACAATTTATGAAGTCTCTGAAAGGATAAAATTTGGGGTTTTTTCTGAATTACTGCATTCTGTTCTTCATATCCCAATGCCCAATGGCAGCTGATTTAGGGAGGGAATCAATTAGTTCTCCCCTTGGAGTAATTTAATCCTTTTCTTTTTATGCTTTTCTCTATAAAAACCAGGTACTTTTACTACCCTGCAAACAAAGTGTACAAAACATGACATTCTAGAAAAATTCCAATATAAGCTGGGTATTGCCCTCTTCTGTTACTGTTACAAAGTTATCATGGAGATTAACATCCAAGATATGGCAACATTCAAATGAGTTACAGTGAAGTGGTTTTAATCATAAACTTGTAGTTAAGTGATGGGATTTCTCTTTGGTTTCTTCTCTGTAGTTGTTTGCCATTACAAATTATGTCCTTTTTCTTCTAGATTTATAGAAATAGATTCTATGGAGAATTCTTAACACACCTAAAATTATCAGAGGGATATCTGGAACGCACATATTTTTGCTGAGACCACAAGTATTCAAAGACATTTTGACGTTCCCTTGACGTAAGAAAATTCAGGTCACACAAAGGATTGGCGCGTAGAGCTACAGTGGTTACAGAACACGGTGAAGTGATCAGGTAGGAGGTAGCTTACTGCTGGATTAGACACGCTAGAGAGCAACTGGTGCTCCAGGCAACAGCTCCACTTCACAGTGCTGGGACAGGAAGATGGTTTTGCAGCGTGGTTCATTGGCCACTGAGCAAAACTGAACTTTCAAGGTTTCACATTTCTTTCTCCTCTACACGGAGATTTAGAACATATTTGCAAAATAGAAATATAGATCAACTCCAGTAGCTGTTTGAAAAGGCCAGGTTTTCTGAGTCAGCTCTATTTTCTTCACTCTAGAAGCTTAACGCTTCAACCAGCTTAACGCAATCACAGAGAATGTCCTTTAGGAAATACTATTGGAGGATGGAGATCTGCCCAGAACACCGCTGCCAGGGGCTATGCCTGCATCAGCAAGCGCGGCTTAGCGGGAGTGGGCCTACAGAGCGGAACAGTTGGTGCCGAGGACCTGATACTCACAGTGCATGCAGGTGAGGGAATTTTCGTGAGGATTAGCTCTGTCTTGATCCCAAGGACTAACTATCCATTAATTTTTGGAGTGTATCTTCCTGTTCGGTTTTATGTCAAAATAAAATCCCAGTTCACACACTCTGAGAATTCACAGCGTGAATCAAAAAGTGCAATAAGAGGGAACGTTCAGAAGTGCAGTGCAGGTCTGAATTCACTAACACAGATGCATCCAGAGATTCTTAATTCACGTAGTACCTTAACAATTTCCTCGCCACTGACATGTCTCAGTCTTCCTAGAATATCCATCACACGATCTGGGTAAGCTTTCCATTTCAGTAGGGCAAGCAAATCCACTGCAGAATGGTAAGAGAAAGAGCTAGAATCCATATGCAGAGGGAAGAGTGGCAACCCCAGACCCACCAGAGATTCATTACGTTACAGTTCGGCTCTTGTTGCAGTTACACTTCTCGGGGCGGGGGGTGGGGTGGGGAATTAGGGGGAAAAAAAAGGAAAATATGGAGTAAGTCCAATACTACTAATAAAGAAATGAATTGAGGAATGGTAAAATACTTTAAAAAGAGTAAAGATTGCATTCTTCACTATGTGACTTGACACTGCACTGTGGACAATCCATGTTTGTCTTCTCATGCCCTCAGGGACATTGCTGTAACAAATTTTTGTTTACTTAGTAGCTCTGTAACAGCCGAACAAAACAAACTTTGGATTGTGCAGAAGTGCTAACACTGAATTTTTTGTTCTTCAACCATTTAATGAAAATTAACTTTGCTTTAACATATTACCCTCCTCTTGCGCTTGCAGTAATGCCTGTAATTTCTCTGCCATCTGTCAATATCCTTATTTCCTCAAAAAAAGTTTCTGCTCATTTCAATAGTGTTAGTAAAAAAACCCAACAGCTTACATATAAGGAAATTATAACAAAGGAGTACTTTAGTAAAATAAACAGAGCACAGGCATACCCATCATCTCTCTTTTTCATAATCCCTGTTGCCTTGGGCAATTTTGAAGGCTGATCTACTTACCATTCTGGGTCAGTTTGGTAGAGGAAAGCTGTGTGGAGACTGAAAAGGTCTCTTTGGTGCTGCGCTGGAAAATGAGGCTGGAAGGGATGTTGGGGCAGCCATTGTAGTCCTCTTTGCAGCAAGGCAGCCCCAGGTACAGTGCATGATTGTTGAAAGTGCTGTTCTCATCACACTGCAGGTACAGGACAGGAAACAGAATTGTACCTAGTCTGTCTCATTCTGCACACTCACACCCTGACAGCAGTTGCCTAACAGTGCTGTTCCTGATCTTTTGGGTGCACAAAACCACTTCTCAGACTAATGCCATAGACTGGCAAAACCGCGGAATGCTCATAAACACTAGTATGTTTGAATTCAAAATAGATAGGATTAGCAGGAGATAAATTATCATTATCTGAAGGGAAAAAGTAAGCTGTACCTAGAATAGAAGGGTCCATCCATACCTAGTCACATGATTTTGAATTTATAAAGTTTTGAAATTACTATTAATCTGTTCCATACATAGTTCTAATGAGGGGAAAAAAAGATAATATAATGACCATTACTTATTCAAACTGAAGTAGAGATGAGTAGGTGAAAAGTCTGCAGAGAAGAACTGGTACCTTATAAACATAAAGCTCATGGATATCATCAGACAAGGTCGTGCCATCATCTCTCATCAATGGAGTGAATGCAAAACCAAAGAGCTTCTTTTCTCCCTTGTCTTTTGCTGTAGCAAGAGACAGAAATACGGAATCATATTTGTACATTTTCTGTCTGTCCACACATACCACAACATTATCCAGTATTTACAAAAAGCATGCAGGTTACATAAGAAACAACATATAATATACTAAGTCTAATTCTATGCAAGTGATCAACAAGCCTCAAAACAAACACAAACATGCTGAACATAGTAAAATATCAAATACATATGCTGTAAAGAAAACTTTCTACAGGAAAACACACCAAAAGAACAGCAGGGGAGAACATCTGCAAACTGTTTTGCCCTGCACTGATTGCTCACAATGTTTTTAATGTGCTGTTTAATACATCTAGCAACCGGCTAATGAGCAGTGCACCTTCACTGCATTTTAGGTTGACATCCCTTTCCTGCTTTCCACCCAGTAACAGCCTCATCCAACTATAAATTGACAATTGAAAGACCTCAGCTTTTTTAGCTTTCTCCTGGTTATATTTTGCACTCACTGGAGCAATGTCTGAACTCAAACCGGAGGTGAGACCCACGGAACCTGTCTATAGGGATGGGCAACTTGATGATTTCCCCCCATCGAGGGCTGTTATTGTGGTAAAGGACAAAAGAGTGGTATGCACTCCTGCTTGGCTCTCCAGAGCCCAGGCTGATGCAGTCCTGGAACAAAAAAAAACAATTTAAGATTAAAAGACATCACATCACTACCGATGAGTCATTTTATTACACGGTGATAACCTTTATATAATTCACATCTTTCTGTAGACATACAGGACGAGTCAGAAGCAGAAACTCGGACACAATGAAACCTGAAATTTTTGAAGAGATCTTCAAACTGTGTTTTGGGTCAAAGGATGAGCTAGGATACCTATGATACTGGATGAATTCCAGTATCTTAAGTTATTATTTAAGCTAAGTTTTCTATCAAGCATAGGCTAGATACAATAAACACATAAATCCAAATATATAAAGACAAGTCCAGGAAAAGACGTAAGAGGGCCACCACTTGTAACATTCAACTTTTCTGAAAATATCATTTAATCAGATTTCTGCTTCAGCATCTCAGTTCAGAAACGATACACAAACTTTTCAAGCTCTTAATGTTGGTCTTTTGAAACTACAAGCATCCAGCCTCATCAAGTATCCCATAGAATTCTGATCGAATTATTTTATTAGTGGTAAGCAAAGAATTTCTGCTAAATAGTCATCAGCTAAACATATAATGGGATCTAAATTTCTGCTTTTAGATATAAAAAGCTCAGAGGTCTTGACCAATCCATGTCTTCTCAAAATACAGATGAAGAAAATCATGAATTGATATTATTTAGGAAATACAGAAATCCTTAGTAAGAATATGAGCAAAGGAAGTTAGGAGAAATAGTGAAGTCCTGAAATAAGGGCAGTACAAGGTCCTTTGTGCTTCTTGCTCCATGTCTTCATTACATTTTTTTATATAAGCACTAACCCATGTTCTAGACCTAGCACTTACAAAGTGATCCAAAAGATGTGCTATCTTATAAAACCATGGAGAAAAAAAGACACCTTAGAGATTCTTCAGTTTAGCATCTCTAAGGATACTGAATCCAGGAAGAAACAGAGGCTAAGCAGCCCTAGAATGACACATGCAATATAAATTCTGACAAAGAAACACCCCACATGGAATAGTATCACAACAAGAGCTACTAGTCATTTCCCCAAGGCATCTCTAAATTCTATTCCCAGAAAATACCAACAATGTGGATTTGATTTTTTTCATCTGTATTCAAGAGACTATCAAGTCAAGTATATCCCATTAATCAGACCCATTTAGTTCGGCCTGTGGTAATATTCTTCTGGCTTCAAGAAAGTTAACAATTTCTGAAAAAGCCCAAAAAGAAAGAAAAGTTCTCTGGAATTTTGGGATTCAATGGACGAAGAGCCTCCTGGGGCAGAGATTCATTACAAAGGCTCTAATCCAAACTGAGCAACTGTAGCATATACTCAGAAAACTCAGTTCTCTCAAGTCTTAGTAACCATATGGTATAAAACAATCACATAAAGGTGATTGTTTTAATACAGCAACAAGAATTAACTGTTGCAGATATTAACAGGTTGGAGTGAGAGTAGTGGTGGCAGTACAAAAAACAGAATGCCTTTAACATCCCCGTTACATTTTTTGGTAAGTGTAACTTGTTTGGCTTCAACACAGCAATTCCAAAACCTCGTTCTGCATTAGGTTCTTAGGAACAAGTAAAATAGTATTTATTTCTTCTATAAGGTACAGTCAAAATTCAGATTTTAACGTGAGCTTTTTTCTGTTGCCTCAAAAAACTCCCCGCCTTGGCAAACAAATGGTCAGTCTTTGAATGCTGTTTCCTGCTATAAACGTTAAGTAAATGAACAGGCGAAGAGTCTTTTCTTCTCGTTGTTAACGTGGTTTCTATGTATTTATATTACAATCTATAGTCTGAGGAAGGAGGATTGTTTAATCTTTAATTCTGAATTGTGATCTGCAAAATATAAACATGAAACTAGCCTCCATACACCTAGATACCACGAGAGCCAAATATGTGGGTGAATTAGAGGGCAAAGGCAAGTAAGGGAAGCTAAACCAGAAGAAGTATCAGGTAGTAATTTTATCGTTTAAGGTATGGCCTGCAATCAATAAGATGTTCCTGCTGCTGGAACAGAAAGAGGAATAAGTGAGAAACGTGTCGAGGTTTTTTATTTTTCAGACTATGCTGAAAGATACTAACAATTGAGTAAGAGCATTTTGAAAAGGAAATACTCATTTTCATTTCAAACAGCACTGTATTCTGGGCCTAATTTCACTGCTTTCAGTAGGACTGTTTTCTGGACCAAGATACACTCATCAGCAGTAAGGATTTGAGACAGACAGAATATTCTCATTAACACTGTGTATGGTTCTGCTGAAGTCTTCACAAAGGCATAATTCAGATTTGGATTGTGCTGCTGCTGAGGAAAAGTTTAGAGATTTTATTCTATTATCAGATGAAAATTTTGTGGCAAATTCCCCACTGTACTGTGTAACTCAGCACACACCTTCTCATTTGGCAGTCTGCTTCGGAAAGGCCGCAGGTCAGGAACAGCAAAGGATATTTCAACCAAGAACAGTAGTGCTTTGGGGTCAATGATTAAATGTTCAGTGTTCTACCCACACTATTGTAAGCTTGAATTGGAGTTTTTTATTAGCTTCTCCACTGTATCACCTACTGAGAGTTATTAAATTAACATCATAATTAGACAAATGAAATAGAAGAAAGAAAACAGCTACACTTGATTGTGAAAGCAACCGCGGGTCATGCAAGTGATTATTCAGGGGACAGGGAACCCAAACAAAGCAATTCCCTTCACCAGGAGTGCACTGAGCTCTGTGCAACGCACACCTTATTCTTCGCATTTATGTTAAAATGTTATTAGACTCCTCTTGTTGCAGTCTTTAGTATTTTCTTTTAGCTTATGCTGAATGATTGAAATGAAAGTCCTAATCTAGCAGCCTCCTTACAGTTGCTTCATTTAGGAATGAAATTATATTCTGTCTTTGGGTGAAACCAGCTCCCTCCTAATGGAAAACGGCAAGTCATCACACACTGCTCTTGGTGCCCGTACCAAAGATTACATAAACTAGATGGTTTCAGTGAAAAATAAGCCATCTATGGTTTAAAACTAAATTCCTAATAAGAAAGGTAAAGCAGTATCCATTTAGTGGCATACTCAAATAACCCAGACTAACAGTCCTGTGTTAAGGTTTAGGTAAATGGACACCTAGGCTTCCCAAACCAATTGCACAGGTGGGATGGTCAGAACTGATGGAATTCTTTGTTCTCAGGGCTTTTCACCTGAACCATGGGAAACATTTTGAGCACAAACTTTGCCTGTATTCTGCAGCAGCAATCTGCATTCTGAAAGTTGAGACAAACTGGAAATCTACAGTTTAAGGAGCCGAATTCTTATAATTTTCTGGGCATTTCTATAGACTTAGAGCAGCCACATACACTTAATAGGGTCAATTGTCTTCTGTAAGGACAAGGACATTACCACTGAACAGTAAGATGGCCCACTAAGTTAGAAGGAATTCCAGATGATTGTCTCGTTTGCTTTAACTTTGGTAGATGAATTTGCAGAATTTTTAAATCATGTAGAAACTATGGCAGTGACAAAGAAAAAAGAGACACAATTAGTTTGCAAATTCAGTTTACGTAGCTGCTTCTTTCTGTCATGCACACGTCATTATTCCTTGAAATTGTCACTTAACACTTCTGAACTATGCCTCTATATTCAGTTCAACTGATACTCAGTTTTTCGTGTTATTTTTCTACTTCTGCAGTTAAGAGAGAACACAAATGTATCTAAGCAGTGAGGAGGAGTTCAAATTAAAGGGAAGGAGAGTTCAGCTTCTATTGTCCTTGATGGCCTTTTACTTATTTTTTAGTAGATACTCAAAGGTAAGCTACTGTATTTCCTACATAGAAAAATTCTAATGTCTGCATGCTTGAAATACAGTGGATCTTGGGCATCATTAGATGTCATGAACCAAAGATCTCCCTGACGTAAAAGAAGTTGTCTTTGTTGCTTTGACTGCAACTATACTGAGGAGCAAGAACATAAAAACTGGTAGAAAGATTATCTTTTAAGTATGTGGTTTAAATTTAAAAAACACAAAAGATCCTTTATATGTAAAGTCTCTCCTTTATGATAAATGTTCACATGATTTTTTTCTAAACACATTGACCACTTTTTACTAGTCGTTGTTTGTACCATGTCTGCTCCACTATCCCACGTAAAGGCCTGAAGGCCTGTTACAGTAGTAATAACAACAGGCAAAGGTAAGAAAAAGAGAACTGGTCTCTGTGAATGACTGTTCCAACCAAAACCACTGAAGAAGTTAAGACTGGTAACGTCTAGAAATTACATGGATTTTATACTTAATCATTAGCCACAGTTACAGTATAATTAGCTACCATTATTTATGTTAGCATTGGAAGATGCTGATATTGCAGCTTGGAGGGTGAAGACCTACATTGGTCTTTGGCAGAGTGCTGTGAAATAAAGTGATGATCAAAAATATGTTACTCAATTTGAAAGGTGTGCCTAATGCAATTAAACAGGAAAGGGTCGTGATCTTCTTGCAACAGCTATGAGCACAAACCAGTTCCTTACAAGAGATATACTTTACTTTTCATGAAATCACAAGCAATTGTAGCAATAAAGGAAAATTTCTCCTTTCAATTAAAAAAAAAAAAGATTGTGGCAATGAGTTTGGTACACAAGCACTTTGGTGTTTAGACTCTTCAACAATAATGGCTACAAAGGCCATTTTATTGCAGTAGAGGTAAAAAAGAAAAGGTAGGAGGAAGTTATTTCTGATCGATGTTTATGTCGAAAAACTTCCGTTTACTTCTCTATCCTCACACCCTCCCACCCCACACCAAGCTGACTTATCTACCTTCTTCTCTTCAATAATACTAAAAATAAGAACAAAGGAAAAAAAGAAAAACACTAAACAACACCATCCACAGCCAGAATGGAGCCATCCCAGGGTGAAAGTCAAGATCTTGGAAATAAGGCAACTCAAATTTATTTTCCAAAACTACATTCAGTACTGTAACTCCAACAACTCCAATTTAAAAGTCTCTCTTGTAATCACATTTCATCCTGTTGTATGGCACGCATTATTTAATTTTAGATATGTGTCATATACTCTTCAGTTCTTTCTGACTACAGTTATGCTAAATTTTCTTTTCACTATAGCCACTAACATCACATTTTGAAATTACAGAAGATTTTTTGTTTATGAATATTTTCTTCAAGTCTCCTATTCCCATATGAGGGAGGTGCTTCAAACTCTTTCAAATATATAACTGACCACTTCCTTCATCATAATATAGTTTAAAAACTTACCAAAAAAAAAAGTAGTAAGATCTAGTTTTACTTTTGCACTTTCCTTGCATCAGAGACGACAAAACAAGAGAATGTGTCCGGAGCAAGCAGACAGCAGCTGAATCTCAAAGAGGAAATAAGCACTTACCTTCAAGATTTCTCCATCTGCATAGAGCACATACATGGTCACTTCAATGTTCTTCTGTACGCTTTTCCCACCTCTCTCAAAGTCTCCCTTTTCTAATGTCAGGTATAAGTCATTACGTATATCACCTACAGTGAAAGAGCAGAGTCACACGTGTCAGTTCTACCTGGAAGACTCAGCACCTGCGTGCAACTTATTTTGATACTGCAAACCGTTTTCTGTGTTCTGCAATACTATGGCTGATGCCCAGATCATTCCAAGCAGCAAGTTAATTGTTAATAAAGATGAACATTTTAACATCAATGCATAAAATCAGACCATTGTTAGTAATGCCTTTATTAAGTGTGAACTCGGAATCAATACTTGCTTTTATTGTAAGTAAGTGGGGAAGGGAAACAAACCTACTGCTTTGCCTAGTTAGCGGATTTGGGAGTATCAAGCTAAGTCTGACAAAACATCAGGAACATCAGACTTCCTGTTTCCAATACATTT